ATTAGCTGCTGTAGCCTCCAGCTGTTTGGAGTCCTCGGAGGATAGAGAGCAACAGCCCTCCAGGGTGTGCACATCTCCATATTAATAAATAATCTCTTGGCCGCAGCCGCTCCAGCACCTGAAAAACAAAAGGAACAGACTCCAGGTGCTTTCTCGGAGTCACCCATCTTTAATGAGAAGCACGCCCCAGAATCAGCTCCACTCCTTCTGTGCACAAGGATGGCGAATGCGAGGGACGCGGTGCACCCTGTTGTCCTCCTCGGCCCCAACAGTGTTTGCACCCATAGCTCGGGGAGACCTCCCAATAACTCTTGGATGTCAATGCTGTTCTAGCCTCCGGTTGCCATATGCATGAATGGCGATCCAGAGAGACTGGCTTATTTGCCATGTCCCAGGGCCAAAGGGTAGAAGAATGAGACACCATTTCAGAATCTTTTCATGTGTTCCCACATCTCCACTCCAATACCGCTTCTTTTGGGGATAATGACTGGCTTCTGGAATGTTCCCAGTCTTCTGAATTAGCCTGTCCTGAGTTGACCCCAAGGGTAGGAAGTTCATTGCCAATTCCATCTCATTCATCTTCCCTCTCCCTACTCCCTCTTTTCTTCTCTCCGTGCTGACTGACCCCTCAGTATGGAGACACTGGGGCTCTGTCCACAGCACTTTGCTCAGCCCTCAATGCCCAGGACCTGGTTGATTTGTGAGTGATCATGCAGTTCCCAGGGTGGTGCCTTTGTAACCAGGGCTGCCTGCTTCTGTCATACAGAAGGGGGAGCTTCCAGAGGCAAGGCAGCCCTCCTGGCTCTTCCCAGGCAGCCATTAGTACAGTGTGCTCTCTTTCCCCATATGTATGCAGCCTTTACCTAGGTAACAAGGTCTAGCCCAAGCTTAACCTTATGCCTTCTTCTTCTTCTTCTTCTTCTTCTTCTTCTTCTTCTTCTTCTTCTTCTTCTTCTTCTTCTTCTTCTTCTTTTCTCCTTCTCCTCCTCCTCCTCCTCCTCCTCCTCCTCCTCCTCCTCCTCCTCCTCCCTCTTCTCCTTCTCCTTCTTCTGCTCCCTCTTCTCCTTCTTCTTTGAACTCAGGCTATCAGACTTGGCCACAAATGCCTTCACCTGCCCAAGTTTGAAAGTAGGATGCTAAAGAGTTATGAGGACCTACTGGGTCAGTGAGGGAAGCTGAAGTCAGCTTGGGACTTGGGACCCACCATACACTTGGTCTCTTAGGCAATGCCTTTGCTTTCAGAGTCCCATGGTGCAATGGGGCTGTTCATTTCCCAGGAGAAACCTTACTCACTCAGTGTAGGCTGGAGGCGCGGCTCTAACATTCATCTTCCGGAAACCACATAGAAGGGGCCTGAGGTGTATGTCAGTGGTAAGATTTCACATCTAGTTGTCACTTATCAAGGGATGCTCATGTGCTTCAGTATGGAACCCTGCCCTCCGCCTGTACTGGTCTACCCCTAGTGGGGGTTGTCCCTACCACATTCCTAAGTGTTCTGTTCAATGTCCTGGAAGTTGGGAGAAATAGGTGCCCCTCAGTGGTGTGGAGTGGTCAGAAGATCTGAGACTCAAATTCCTTCTCAGAGCACTCCCTCAAAATACCTGCTCCACCCCTTTTCTGTCTACCACCTAATCTAAAAGGTCCTATATGATGAGCTGGGGAGTCTGTGGGGAATCCTGCAGAGGGGGTTCCCTGATTCCTTTGGCCTTGGCCCATTTTCACCAGTTTCACAGCCTCCACTCTCCTTGTTCTCTTCTTTCCTTTGTTCCCCATCTCTTAGGTATAGCTCTGGCTTGATTATGGAAGAAGAAATACCAAGTGCATTTGTTCTCATCAATTTTAATTCCTTTATTTATCCCGTGTTCTCCCACAGCTCAGGAAGGCAGCTGCTAACTCTATTTGCAGCTCACTAGCGTGGAAACTGTCAATAACTTATTTATTTGTCTTTGGATCTTGCCTTTTTCTCATCTGTAAAATTGGAATATTTCTTGTCCTGCCTGCCTTATGACCTAGTATAGCAGCTTGCCTGAGCTATCACATAGATAACCCAGTTAACTTTCCAAGGAGAAAAGAGCCGTTTTTTCATGCGGAGGTTGGACAAAGTCAGACTCAAGGGTGTTGTGAAAATCTTCCCTGGGTCAATGAAAACACGGTCAGGATCTCTGCTTTTCATCCTGTTTCCACATCAACAACTTAGAACAACCCTTTACCTCAGTCAACAAGACCCCGTGGGAGACACAGAAGTTTACCTGAGCTGAGTGAAAGGAGGCAACAACTTCTCCCTCACTGGGACCTAGATGGCCAGACCCTTCTGAAAACCTTTGGAAGAGCATTATTTTTCCCGTGTCCCTGCTTTTCTGCCCCCTCCAATGTTCTTCTAAGTAAAACACTTTGTTTTTATCCTTCAATAAATGTCACCCCCTATTTTTCTGGTTGGCATTCTCTTGAGATTTCCTGCCTCAGCAACCCACGGGGCCGTCTCTGGCCAGTGTGGACTCACTTGATGTGACCCACCTCTTCACTCAGTTCCTTAGGCAGAATCTTTGCTCTCAAGGGGCTATGGAGCCAGGGGCCAATATAGGACTTTCAGGCATTAATGTTGAGTGAGAATTTGGCCTCCAGAGGAAAGAATAAGTATACTTACTGGGATCACAGTGAAAAGGATCCAGAAGCCTTCATGGGACGAAGAGGGGAAGAGCCCAGGAAAGGGTGCTGACTTGAAGTACCTTCTGTTTAAGTTACTAAACTTCCCAGTGAGAGAGCTGGACTCTTTCCCTTCCTTCCCATTTGCCTTTCAAGAAAGCAGAGAGTAAAGAATCAATTCGCATGGCCTCAGATATCCACTCAAGAACTCTCCCCACTGACCCGGCAGCTCAGGCCCTTGTGGTGAGGAAAGCAGGGATCCCAGTCAGGGCTGGTGGCAGTGAGTGTGACTGTCAGGACATAAAAGGACAAACAATGCACCGCCCAGAACTGACCCATAGGAACTGGGACTGGCCCATGGGCAGGAGTATTCCTCTTTTCTAGCTCTGGATGGCTGTGCAGGAGGCGTGGCTCCTGTGTTAGTATTGTCATCGAATGACTCTTCCACCATAGCTCCGCTTGACTCATTTGGCAGTCTGAGCAATCTGCTCAGTGTTCTGTGATAATGAGGCTTCCTTGGCAACTCACAGAAGTGAGTTCAGAGTGTTATTCCCACCTGGCTGGGGGAGGCCTTCTAGGTGCTCAGGACAGCAAAGGAGAACCAGGCAGGGCCAGGGCGTGGTGGGGGTAGGGAGTCTGTCTGTTCTGCAGCCCCTTTCAGGATCTCTGACTCTGGGGCTAGGGAACTGTCCAGCTGCTGCAGGATCCTCCTCCCCAGATGGGAGGGCCAGCCATTGTTTTCCCTCTGTGTTTGTGCCTCCCACTCTTCTACCAGATTATGTTGGTTGAGGCTGACAATGTCTGATTTTCCTTGTCAGAACAAAGAGACTAGATCCTTCAGTAGAGGGATCTTGACTCAAACTATGCTCTGTTAGGGGCAGAGGTCCTTTCTTCCAGCCATGCACGACTCTGGATGGGTCGGAGTGGACAGACTATATGAGAGGGAAAGGATAGAGGGGCGGACTCCTGATGAGTTTGCAGGTCCCCAGGCCGACAGAAGCTCTGTTGCATTTGTTCCTCTGGAACATGAAGAGATAGTTGGGGCAGCGGTGCATGTGATGTACTTTGATTTCAAGCCAGCACCTTTTCCATCACCCTGACATTTTTGCCCTCCCTCTGAGAGGGTAAAATGTCCCTGAGATCCTTTAGGATGGTCTGTGGTGTTACAGAGGAGTCAGAGCCCGGGGCAGAGGCCAAACAACATGGATTTGCTTTTGCTTAGTGCCCTGTTAGCAGGCTGGGGCTCGTGTCGCTGGCTTAAATGTGGGCAGGCATGAGAGAGTGCAGGCAGTCTCAGGAAGGAATGACCAACATACTGGGGTGGGTGAGGTGCTCCCCAGAAGGAAGTAAACACCAGCCTGGCAAAAAGAGAGTAAGAGAAGGAAACCATTTGGGGAACAAGTCCAGGTCAGAGCCACGCGTGTAGACAAAGGGGGCATGAGTAGCTCTGGGGACATCTGATCACAGGAGGGAAGGAGCCAGTGAAAAAGCTGAGTTGGACAAGATGCTAAGTAGCCAGTGGAGACACGGACCGGCTCTGCCGTCTCCCTTCTACTGTGAACAGCATTTTCCCAGCAACCTCCTTCCTCACCAACTCGTTCTTGGCTTTGACAGGTTGTAGAGGTATAGAGCAGACACGGCCCTTACCCGGAAGCGGGGGCTGACTCGAGAGTGGACGGATACGGATACAGGCAAATGCAAAGAAAAGGCTGCACCGGGGCTCAGACTCAGGAAGGAAGAGGAGGCTTTTCCTCTGTTTCCACAGTTTCATGCAAAAACTAGGTCCTAAGAGCCAGCTTGGGATCTGGCTGCGGACCAGCCTCGCCCCCACCTGCCCCATTAGATTTTCCATGGGACTTGCCCTACAGTGCAGCAGACCCTGGGTTAAAGGACGGTGGGCCTGGTCGAGGCAGCCTGCCTGTAGAGACCCCGCTCTGCTCCAGGAGCCCACCTCCCGCTCTCACTCCTCTTGTGCAGTTGTGACTAATGCAGTCACAACATCTGGACTTGCACCCTTTCTTCTGCTTACGGTTTTCCTTTCAGCAGTTGGCTCCGTTCTCCACCCAGGACTACAGACAGCACCTGCATCTTAGGGGTGAGCTAAACCACAGGAAGGGCAGCACTTGCCTGGCACAGATAAACTGAGCCAACAGCCACCAGGGATCGTGTGCTCTTCTTGTGCTTAGCCACCCAGCTTCACAGCACATTGCACAGAAGACAGTCACCATCAGCGACTTTCCCCGTAGAGGAGTCTGAGTAGAAAGTGTCGCCACCCGCGTCTCCTTGCTCCAGGATACACCTGACCCTATCCTGTCACAGCTCCTAAGACTAACTTCTTCCCTTCTGCTTCCTCACAGACCTGCGCAGAATGACGGCTGGCTTCATGGGCATGGCGGTGGCCATCATCCTCTTCGGCTGGATCATCGGTGTGCTGGGCTGCTGCTGGGACCGAGGCCTTATGCAGTATGTGGCAGGGCTTCTCTTCCTCATGGGAGGTAAGGCTGAAAGCCGCTGGTGGGGCGGGGGAGGCTGGGAAGGTCCAGCGGGGAAGCGGTAAGAGGGTAGAGCAGCGGAGCATGGCTAGTAGACTTCATTCTGCTCCCTCATCTCTTGGTGCATCAACAGTCTATTCCCGTCACCTACTGACCACTATACTGGCTGTTAGGGATGTGAAAGGAAATGAGATACAGTCCTCAGTGTCTAGAGCCTTGGGGATCTCCGTGCTTAGATGGAAGAGAGACTGGGGCTATCATACCTCCATGACAGCAGTTGGAGACCTCAGACTCAGAAGCATAAAACCAGGATATGTTGGGCCTTTTACACTTCCATGTCCTGTATTGTGGTGTTAAACCCAGGAAGGAAGTGTTTTTTTCTCCAAAGGCCTGTGCTCGTCCTTGACTTATGGTTTAAAACAAGGCAGCAGTCGGACAAGACTAGCTCCTCCCATTCCTGCTCCCTTTCCTTACACTGAGTCAGCCCAGTGGCCTATAGCAGACTGTACGTGGAGAGAACTGTGTAGTTATGAGGGACCCGGCTCTGGTCCAAGCAAAGTAAAAGCTTTCTCACCATCTACTCAGGCATCTTCCTTTCCTTTGAAGTCTCCTGGTTTGGGGGCTCAGCCTAGAGCTTACATTTTGAACTGCCTGGGACAGGTGGATGGGTGAATTCTGTGGAATGAGTATGGACAGACAGAATTGACAATTGAGAGGCGAAGAGAAAATGAGTCCCGCAGGAGGGAGCAGACATCAGTCCGACTTCAGGCATTGCACAGATGCTTGACTCCAGTCTCTTTCGTGCTGAAACCGAGGAGAGAAGGATGAGTGGGCTGTGGAACTCTATCTGCAGGTCAAGCTGAGGGATGGAGAAGCTTGTCCCTCGCTGTGTACAGAGAGGCATCTGGGATGCAGAAAGCTCTGGTTTAGGGGAGGGAGGGAGGGCTATGCGGGAAGGACTTGGGCCCTGAAGTTTTGCACTGTTCCTTGAAGCCTTTCTGTGCCAAACACGATACAGGCTTTCCATGGAGCTGGTACTAAGGTGACTCACTTGTCATCCGAGTCAGGACGTTCCCATGTCAGAGCTGCCACCCCTGGGGCCCACACCTGTGGTTAAGGCAGAGGCTGGGAGAGTGAGAGGGCATGGTGGCTCTGTGATGGAGATTCTATATAGAGAAGCCACCATCCCCCAGCATACACTTATGTTCTGTGGGCTCCCCCTTTCTTCAGTGAAACGGGACCCAAATTCGCTGATGTTTCTCACCCCATATTTTACCAGTACAGCCCCTTGGTTTCCCCTTTGTAATCCTCCTTTTAAAATATAAAATAAGATAAAAAGTGAAGCATCTGTACCCTGTTTGTAGTGAGGCAGTGTCCTGTTTGTAGTGAGGCAGTATTCTGTCTGTAGTGAGGCTGTATCCTGTCTGTAGTGAGGCTGTACCCTGTCTGTAGTGAGACCATATCCTGTCTGTAGTGAGGCTGTACCCTGTCTGTAGTGAGGCTGTATCCTGTCTGTAGTGAGGCTGTGTCCTGTCTGTAGTGAGGCTGTGTCCTGTCTGTAGTGAGGCTGTGTCCTGTTTGTAGCGTGCCTGTCTGAAGTAAGGTATCCTCTTCACAGTGAGGCCATACCCTGTTTGCTCTTTGGAGACACAAAACAGACTCTGATGAGGGGCTGTCCTGAGGCTGGAGAGAGGTCTCCCGGGTATTCCAGAGAAGCTGAACAAACAGGTCTCAGACTAAGCACCCAGACAGGAGTCTTTCTGCTCTACTTCTTGCTGGCATTTGCTAAGGCTGGATGCCTTCTTCAATGGCCCTTCTCTTCGGGCAAGAACAAGGCTTAGAACCTGGGACCTTTCAACCCTGAGAGCTTTCCAAAGGACTTCAGTTAACATGTAGACTAACAGCCAGAATGCCATTGGCTAGCTTATCTTTCCTAGACAGGCCACAGGAGTAGAATTGAGTGATAATGGCTAAGCCGAAAGCTGTGCCTGCAGTGAGGAGACTGGGTTACCTCCCCCTACTGGAGACCTCAGGACAAAAGGCAAGAGGACAGAAGCGATGGTCTGGAGGGTGCCTACAGCGCTGCCCTCCTACTGCTGGGACACCTCCAGGATAGGTGAGGAGCCGCAATCTCTGTTCTGAAGACTGAATGAGTGGGGGCCTTGCTTTCTTCACCCCGGCAGTCCTCACCCATTACAAGTCAGAACTTCCTGGAAAGCTTTGATTAAATGTTAATGCAGACCAATCAAGACCAACCCCACAGAGCTCCTCTGCAAATAGAGCTAAGAATCAGTGAGACAGATAAACTTGGAAGTCTTTCCAGCTCCCACCTTGTATGGTACCTGGGAACACACACACACACACACACACACACACACACACGCATGCATGCATACACACACACACCTAGGCCTTTATGACTGCTTGTCTAAGTTATACAACAAGAGATAAGATGGTGCCCACAGGCCTCAGTAGCTGGGAGGCCTACCCAATCCGACTCCTGGGAGTCACACATATCTGCCTTTCTTGGATACATGATATGTATATATCTTTAAAATGGCAAATCCATACTCGTGATGAAGTACTGGTGTGACAGCCAGCTTTGCAGCAGCTGTGCTTCCCACAGCCACTTCCTGCTGATCAGAGTACAGTCCAGGCTACACAGAGTCTAATTTATCCTCAGGTCACAAAGCCTTCTCTTCCCCCTAGAGGTATTTTTAAAAAATCTTTGTCCCTAGGTAAAGCAACATGCTACTAAATGAAGCTGGGGTGGGAAGGGAAGTGGTATCCATACACTTTTTGGTACTATCAGGCCCTGAACTAACAAGAGAGTTAATAGCAAAGCCGTTGACTTCTCATCCCTTGAATGGTGGTGTTTTCTTTTGTGGAAGTTCTGCCATATCCTTCCTTCTCCAGCTAGTGTCCTCTGCAACTGGGGGAGACTCGGGTCTGGGCAGTCGCAGCCCAGGGCAACTGTCACGCTCTGACTCATGTAAATAAGTCATGTTCAAATGGTCTTGTTAAACACACATGTGTTGGGAGGATATGGTTCAAGGTCAGAGAGTGAATGCCTGGCCTGGCCCTGTTCAGTTATCGTAACTAAACTGAGGGACCAGACATGAACCCGGAAGAAATGTATGGACCTATAGAACCCTACATGTCAGAGACATTATAAGATGAGCCTGTTCCAGAACCTGAAAAGTCTGTTCTCTGGGGGGTCAATTCCCTATGCATGACCTGCCAAAGAACCTAGGGAATAAGCCACCTCTTCTGATCACCTCCAAGACACAACAGCACCGTCAGTCATTGAAACTGCTCAGATGGTTCCCAAATGTGACCTTGTAGCCTTCTCTTGGGTATCTGTAGCTGCACTGAGCCAGGTCCCTGGTGGTTGTATTGGGCTGGAAGCTAAGCAGGTAGTAACCAAAAGCAGTGGTATCTGGGACTGACGAGATGTGAGTAGGTAAATAGGTAGAAAGGGAAGATTCAGCAAGAAAGAAAAGAACACCTTTGGGCTGGGAAGATGGCTCAGTCAGTAAAGTGCTTGCTTTGCAAGCGTGGGGGCCAGAGGTCAGTCCTCAGAGCCCATGTAAACAGACTAGGTGTGATGGTAAAATCTTGGTATACCAGTCCCGGAGACAGAGACAAGTGACTCCCTAGGGTTCACCTGCCAGGTAGCTTAATCTGACTAGGAAGTTCCAGGCCATTGTGAGACCTGTCTCAAAAAACAACATAGACAGCTCCTGACAAATGACATCACATGCACACATATGTACATACACCTATACACTCACACATACATGCATGTATACAACACACATGTGCACACATACATACTACACGCAAATATTTTTAAGTGGAGAAGTATATTTGAAATCAAGATTCCAATGACTGAGTTCCTGGGGACTGATAACTCTAAGTAAAGCAATTCATCAAACATACTAGGCATGTTCTACATTTTAATTATTTTAAATTTTGTACTCTTTCACTTCTTGCTTGGATATGTGTTTTTATGAGTTATAAATATATAGTATATTCATTTATATTGTATATAAGTATGCAACTATATTATATATAAATATATATTATATATTATATATTTAGCAAGACCAAAATGAAGGCTAAAGAATTGTCTTCACATCCTCTCCTCTGTTCCAACAGTAAGATGGCCTTCATTGGGCACTTCTCTGGTCTGTATCTGACTGTTTCAGAGATAAAGAGAGGGTGCCTCACACACCATACAATAACCACCCACAGACTGTTAAATGAATGTTCAAGCCAGAGGAAACTATTAATTAAGCAGGGTAGCACTATTGGGCCCAGGAGGCTGGGGGTGGTGGGTAGGATCCAGCTTTCCTTTGGCAGCACCTCCACAGAAGATGTAGCCCAGATAGGCACAGCCCCACGTGCGTGCAAGCAACCATCGGAATGAATCATAGGGGTATTTAGAGGCTCAGGAGCAGGATAACACAGGGACAGACTGTGTGGCACAGGGGCACATGACTACCCTGCTCACATGTGACCCTTCCCTGGAAGCTTCTTAGGTACAAGGGTTTACAAAATGAGTTGGAATCCCTAGTCCATGCTTATAGCATCAAGAACCTTCTCACAGTCCTCCAGTAATTGCTGGATTGAATTGCCTTCCTTCTTCTCTACACGCAGCCAGGGCTAAGGCTCCACCATCTTTTGTCTAAACAACACTGAAGTCCCTTACTGGCCACCCTGACTCCACTAGGGCTATACCTTGATCCTTTCTGAACAGATCAGTTAGCATGAATCTTTTATCCTTTGAAATGTTCATTACTGTGTGTGCGTGCATTCTGGCATACATGTGGAGACTAGAAGCTAACCCTGGGGAGTGGGTTCTTGCCACTACATGGATCCCAAGAATCAGACTCAGGTTGTCAGACTTGGTGGCAAGTGCCTTCTCCCACTGCGTCATCTTGCCATCCCAGCATAAATCGCTTACACTGTGAATCAGATATGCCAGTCAGCTCCTGCCA